TTCTTTCTTTCTTTCTTTCTTTCTTTCTTTCTTTCTTTCTTTCTTTCTTTCTTTCTTTCTTTCTTTCTTCCTCCTATATACTGCCCATCTTGCTAAAGGTGACTCTATAATATATACAGTATATACTTGTGACAAGGTAATGTTATATGTTTTTATTCTCCATAAATACAGCAAGTTGCCTTTTTTTCTATCAACATTGATAACAGACATGTTGAATTAGGCTTAGTGGCATTAGCAGTCTTGGTTTATTTTCTGGTTTCATTGCTCTTGGATCAAATTTTTCCTCTTTCCCTCTGTTTGGAATAGTGTTTCTCAACTTTGGCAACTTAAAGATGTGTGAACTTCAACTCCACAAAATAGCAATAGCACTTAGACTTATATACTGCTTTATAGTGCTTTACAGCCCCCTCTAAGCGGTTTACAGAGTCAGCATATTGCGCCCAACAATCTGGGTCCTCATTTTACCCACCTTGGAAGGATGGAAGGCTGAGTCAACCTTGAGCCCATCAGGATCAAACTGCCAAATTGCTGGCAGTCGGCATTCAGCAGAAGACTGCATTCTAAGCACTATGGCTCTTGAAGAAGAATGGAGAATGGCACCCCAAGAGTAGAGTGGACTTCAACTACAGCTGGACAATTCTGGGAGTTCAGGGTGCCCCTCCAGGTGCCAAGGTTAAGAAACACTGCTCTGGAATGCCTCTATCTTTGCTGACCTTGGTTGATTACCAGAAATGATTAAAAAACGTTGAACCTAGTTAGTGCTTGGATGAGATAAACTACTACACCAGGGCTGTCAAACTCAGGCCTGTGGGCTGGATGCATCACATGCCAGCCATGCCTATGCCTGGCTTAGTGAAGTGGAAAAAAGTCCTGATACGTCACATGATGACACCGTGATGACATGAGTTTGACACCCCTGCATTACACAGAGAGGTCCATGTGGTCCCCAAAAGCCAAGCTTAATTCCAGGGAGTATAATTTTACATGTGTATACACACATTGATTTATTTACTGCAATGTATATGATGTTCAATCCCCTTCTAAAGCTCCAAATAGCTTAGAAATTGTACAAAAATACAATAAAAGCAATGAAAATTATAATATATTAGACAACTAATAATATTTTAATATTCATCATCACATTGAGAATGACCGTTCTACACAATAACAATGTCTCCAAGGTTCTGTCTAACTCCTCACCTATGGATGTATCTTCCTCCGTCTCTAAGTGGACATATTTATATTAAAAACTGTCTCTTTCAATATGTGTTTGTGTGTGTGTGTGTGTGTGTGTGTAGACAGCAGAGGGCAGCAGAACACAATTTAGGAAAGTTGTAACTATTACCTAATTGACTGGAAACTACCAGCTATCTCTCTTCCCTCCCACTCGGCATGTTCTACCCCAATCTCAGTGAATCATAGCTAACAGGGTTAAGAATTTATTGAAATCTGTTTGAAACTCCCAAGAACAGACCACAAGAACTGGAGGGAGAAAAGAGAGCTTAAGTCCAGCTTCGAACATGTGAGTGTTGTTTGTGTGGGAAAGGGAGGTGGCATAGGTGCCTACTTGTTAAAACGAATGCAGTGATTCCTCTTTTACAATATCTTTATTAAAACATCTCAAAGGACAGGGAATGTCTGTGGACTGCCTGAGAAGGAACTGCAGTGCTGGGTTTAACCTTAGAATAATATGACAAAGCCTCAAGGTGTTGCTAAAGTGCCCTGTTCTTGTTTTAGTCCTGCAGCCCCTCGTGCAGGTACAACATAGTGCTTTTCTTCATTCAACTTCAAGACTCTTAGCTCATCTTCAACTGAAAAGTCAGGGGTTGCCAATGTAGGCCAGAGACAGGGATTTGGGATTAAAGTTAGCCAAATCTCTTCAGGTTCCTTTGCAGCCATTTTGGGCAGCCTTTGGAGATCTTTGGGTCCAAAGAGCTTTGCAGAATAACAGTAAACAAATCAGAGTGGCAACTACTTCACAGGGGATGAAATCAAAACTGAAAGCCACTCAAGGACTATTGCTGCCTTTCCTCTTTTCTTCACTATCTCTGGGATTGTTGCAGAGATTTTAGTCTACATAGAACTAGCAACAGAGACCACAATGTTCCTGATACTCTTGCTCTTTCTGACAATTCTGAAAAGATCCTAGTTTTCAAGGCTACCATACACTCTCATGCTAGGTGTTAAATGGTTTTCCATCTTCTGAGTCAACAAGGGAACTGTTCTAACACAAGAGGACAGAATGCCACCTTTCCACCAGGAATTACAAGATCCCGTTCACTAGAAGGTTCATAGGTACAAGAATAGGATCCGAATTACAAAATTTCAGACAATCGCTGCAGCAAAGAGATAATTTTCTGAAATTATTTGCTGCCCTCTACTGGTCATTTGGATATTTACAGACAGATCTGGTAGCCTGGTCCAGGACTATATATATACAGTGTGATTCTGTTAGCATCATTGTGCCATTATAGATTGGATAGGCTGGGCATACAGCATGTACCACTCTAGAAATCAAAGCTTCTCTGCAAAAAGGCAAAACAAGGTTTGTAATATGTAAGTTCTTTTTTTTGTAAATAAATTTTATTGAATTTACAATTAAAAACATATCGACATTACATATACAAAAGGGAGAGAAAAAGAAAAAAGAAAAAAAACGCTCGGTCTTACGAACTGAAAAAAGAAGAGAAAAAGAGATATAAAAGAAAGAAAGAAACAGAGAAACGGAAGAGAAAAGAAAATACATTTAAAAACAGACATCCTTTTTGACAGTCTGCAAGATCCAATTCTCCTACCTTAATTTAAATACACACATCTTGTCAATATCTATGCTTAAATTACCCATTGTTCATTAAGCATTTTATCTCTGAAGTAACCAATTATACCACGAGTTCCAATTATCATAAAATGTTGAAGACTCTTTATTTTTAAGTGCTATAGTTAATTTATCCATTTCTGCACAGTCACATATTTTCTGGATGACCATTTGTTCTGTAGGTATATAGGATGATTTCCAGCACTGGGCGAATGCTAATCTGGCCGCAGTTAGGATATGAATTGTTACATATTTCATCTTTTTAGGTAAATGTTTATCAGAGATCCCTAGTAGGAAGAACTCTGGTTTGTATTCGATTTGTTCTTTGGTTATCTCCTCCAACCATTTTCTGATTTTTTGCCAATATTTCTGGGTTTCTTTGCAAGACCACCACATATGAAAGTAGGTTCCTTCTATGCTTTTACATTTCCAGCATGCTTTTGTAATATGTAAGTTCTACTTATGCAACACTGAGAAGATGTTTCAAAAGAAAAAGATGCATTTTCTTTAAAGGTGCCTATTGCCCAATTCAAATTTCAATGTATGTGTCTGTGTTTGGAGAGGGGGGAATCCACTTCAGAGACCTTGTTGGCTCTGTTTTTTGGCTCTTCTCATACGTGCCTATCTTGTGTTGTGTTGACAGGTATCCTGTTGTCTTCCTGCTTCAGGGAGCTTTCTTAGTTGCTGCAGTCAGTTCCAGACCAACCACAAAGCTTTATGGGGAGATCACTTCCCCAAATTATCCCAAAACATACCCCAACAACAACATCAGTACCTGGGACATTTCAGTGCCAAAGGGTTACAGAGTAAAGCTAAGTTTCTGGCTGTTTGATCTGGAGCCATCTGAGACCTGCCGGTATGACTTTGTCAAGGTATGTAAAGAGAAGCTGGGTTGTGGTGATGGGAATCAGGGTCTCTGAGATCCAAGAATCGCTGCCCATAAAGGATCAAATATTATTGTATTCACTGGTCTTTGCATCACAACTTCCTTCTTGTCTTCCTTATTATTCTCCTCACACTTTTTTTTTTTTGCATTTCTGCTCATGTTTAGTTGCAAGAAAATGCTTACTAGAGGGAATATTGATTTCCTTCCTTCTTCTATAACATGCCAACTTTCTGCATCTCAATTTGTTTTCCAAATTCCTCTTGTTTCCATGCAAATTGGCAAGATGCTTTCTGCATGGACTGTTTTTAAAGGATTATAGTTTATTGCCCCATGTATGTGTCAAGTTCATTGTAGATATTTTGGATCTTGGCCAAGGAGTTTGACCTCTGGTTTCTAATGTTTCCTTCTATCTCTCATTGGACTCTGGCAGATCACAGCAAACAAGAAGGACTTAGGCCGATTCTGTGGCCAGGTAGATTCTGCCACAGGCAACCACCCAAGAGACAAGGAGTTTTTTTCTACCAACAATCACATGCGGCTCCTGTTCCAGTCTGACTTCTCTAATGAGGAGAATGGCATTGTGGTTTCCTATAAGGGATTCTTAGCTTATTATCAAGCTGTGGGTAAGTATAGAATATATTTATACCCTGCTGAAGTCTTAAGCACAAACTGACCCAGCTTCACTTTTCAAGATTGCTCAAGGCTTGCTGATGAAAAATATTTGAGGTAGGAGGAAAGGAACAGAAGAGGACATAAGCATGAACAATCAAGAGAGAATAGGTAACTCAGTCGAGAGCTTATCACATAAATAGCAATTCAGCCCAGATGGGAAGAAATCTGGGAAGAAGCATTTCACAGTATTTAAAAATACTCTGTTTTAATTAGCTCAACATAAATGAGGTTGGGAAATACAGTTTCCAAGCTTCTGTGTTCATCTCAGTGTAGTGATATATGTAAATATAGCTAGAGGCATCTGCAGCAAATTGTGATGACATGAACCGATGACACAAACATAGTGATGTTACCGTGTAAATGCTGCCTTTATATACTGGATGGATGACCTGGCATGTGGACATACAGGGGAAAATTCTGGCATCTATATTTTGCAGCAATTGAAATTGCTAAATTATCTTCAAAGGCAGCTCAACAGATAACATTGCATAAACACCCCAGTGAGAGGTTTACTAGCGCTTAGGCTGTTGTCCCTGTCCAGAAATAGTAGAAATTGGTGAACCTGAATGGATGAAAAACATGTCAAGACACTGTGGGTGTCTGAAGCTCCAGGGATAAATGAGTGCTATACATTTTCTTTTTTAGGGAAATTGTACCCATAGCTGGTGGATTTTCTCATGTCTTGAGGAACCGGGGATTTTGGGTCACAGGAGGCTTTAATTGCATTGCTTAAATTTTTATTTCGCTCCTGCAATTCTGTCCTAGCAGGTAAAGATTTGCAATTTGAACATGCTAAGTGAAGAACAGCAGACCCTCAACGCTGCAGCTATCTACAAATATTTGCTGGTGAAGAAATAAAATTTTCAGGAGCCATTAATCTCCAGCTGTGGTGCAGCATACATGAGCAAGCCAATGTACCATAACATATCATAAGCAGGAGGACTGGGATTTCCTTGTTTACTTGGAGAAGCTGCCCTGGAAACAGCTGCCTTGAGAATGTTTTTCTGCTCAAGAGCAAAAGAATGACCCGATCCTGAATACAAAATTAATAAAATCCTGTAAGCCATTATTTTCTCTGCTTTCATCTCATCCTCTAGATCTAGATGAGTGTGCCCCCAGAAATGACGTCGAAGATGGTCCGCAGTGCCAGCATTTCTGTCACAACTATATAGGGGGCTACTTCTGCTCCTGCCAGCCTGGGTACCAACTCCAGAGTGATGGGTATTCTTGCAAAGGTAAGACCACATGATCACCCAAGAAAGCAGAATACCAGTGAGAACAGGGAGATCATGCCCAGAAGAATACCAATGTGGAAGAATGCAAGATAACATTGAGGAAGTTTTTAGGAGTCATTAGCGGAGAAGTGACAATTCAGTTCTGGGAAAGGAGAGGAGAAAGTATGAACATGAAATTCAGAAAAACCCTGCCTTGATTCCCTTTTTGGACGAGAAGCAGCAGAGGAAATCTCTGAAGGGCTTTAAGATTCTGCTATTACACCTTACAATAGTAGACCAGCGTTCCTGTAATTGGTGGGGTTTCTGATTTCTCATCTAGTCTACCTCAAGGGGCAGGGATGGGCTACTGGGGGGTTTGCAGGAGTTTGGGAGACCCTCTAGCTCAGATTCTGCACAATTTGGAGAACCCCCAATTCCCACTCCTGGCTGGCCCCGCCCACCCCACTCCTCCCAGGAGTCCCCACGAGGCCCGTTTTGGAGGCAGGTAAGTGCAGGGTGCGCATGGAGGCTCAGGGAGGGCGAAAAACAAGCCTCCCGGATGTTCGGGGAGGCCAGAAATGGGCTTGTTTCTGGCTTCCAGACAGCCTCTGGAGCCCCAGGGAGGCCGTTGTCGCCCACCTGGAGGCTCGATGAAAGCCTCTGGAGCCCAGGGAGAGCAAAAACACCCCCACCCACCCCTGCTGTGGTGCAGAAGGCCAACTAGGCCACGTCTTCCATGGTGACACCCACCCAGCAACTGGGCAGAGAACCCATTGCTAAAAAATTTAAAGCCAACCCCTGTTAAGGGGCCCACAACCCTTGTCTGTAATGCCATCAAGGTGCTATTTCAGGTTTACAAGGAGAAATAGGCCCCAGAAATATGCCAGCTGCTGCTCTGCAGATGAGCCGATATGAATTTTCCTTCTAGTGAATCTTCTTTTGTTTCTTGCTCTGCAGTGGATTGCAGCAATGAACTGTTCACAGAAACCTCTGGGTATTTGTCAAGCCCTGGATACCCTGAGCCCTACCCACCTAACTTGCAGTGTAACTACAGCATACGGGTAGAGAAAGGGATGACCATTATCCTCAAGTTCTTGCAACCCTTTGAAATTGATGACCACCAACAAGTCCACTGTCCTTATGACCAGCTTAAGGTACTACAGATTGATCAATTCCTAACTGCTGTTGCCATTCAGTACTTGGTTCAACCTTAGAATGGGTGATAGATCATGAATAGGGGAATCTTCAAGGATCACTGCAGTCTGTCTTTCAAGTACTAACTTCTCATTGTGGAATTAAAATGTTTGGGGTTTTCCTAAGAAAGATCTATGGAAATAGCCAGAATATTATCCAAATAGTCACCTTCTTCCATTTACATTTTAAAGTAAACTCGACTGCAAATAGTATGAGTTGTTCCAGGGAGCTTGGCTTCTTCTGAAATGCCTATTACAAACCAAATGACTCTTGTAATATTTTATGTATTACAAAGATACAAGTAGAACACAATTTACACACCAAGTGTCCCAAAGGCGCTTTTTCAAGAGGCAACTGCACTTTCTGGTTTTTCTTGGAAAATGGTTTTGGTTCACAACTTCACATCCAATAAGCTTCTTCAGAACTGAGGAAGCTTCTTGGATGAGAAGTGAAATGTCTTCAGAGAAAAACCAGGAAATCCAGTTGCCTCTTGAAAAAGCAACTTTTGGACAACCATGACCTGGATGGCTGAGAATCTCCATTTACACAACAAGTGCTTCCACTGTTACAAAGAATTAGGGGTGACATGATAGTAATATTTCAGTACTTGAGGGGCTGCCACAAAGAAGAAGGGGTCAAATTATTCTCCAAAGCACCGGAGGGCAGGAAAAGAAATGGTTGGAAACTGATCAAAGAGAGAAGCAACCTGGAATTAAGAAGTAACTTCATAACAGTAAGGACAATTGAGCAGTGGAAAAACTTGCCTTCAGAAATCATGGCTGATCCATCATTGGAGGTTTTTAAGAGACTTGAACAGTCGCTTATCTGAGATGGTATAGGACAGGTTCTCTTGCTTGAGCAGGGGGCTGGACTAGATGACCTCCAAGGTCTATTCTATTCTATTCTATTCTATTCTAAAGCAGGCAATATATATGTCTGATAGATGATCTTCAGGGAAAAATCTCAAAAGGCTACCAGATTGAGCACCTGTTTGTTCCTCTGAGTTTCATATTGCTGCTCATTTCACACTATTGTCAAAATGCTTTTGTTACTACATACAGAGAGGCTTTCCCTGCAGCCCTTAATATGAACATTTATTCAATCATTTTGCCTTAATGATATGTATGTATGTAAGTATGTGAAATACCACTCACGCATCATCACAAAATCTCCAGAACCGAAAAGCCTACAAACTTGAAATTTAGCACATATGTTCCTCTTGGTTTCTTTGTGCTCACTCAGAAAAGATTTTTGAAATGGCCATCAGAGCATTAGTATTTCCTATATTATTATTAACACGCTCTGATGCTAAGGAGTTCTACTCCCCCTCCCCACCTGAAAAGAAATCTGTTCCAAATGCAAAGCACAAGCAGAGGAGAGGAGTTTCAGCTTTAGCGTCACAGCAGCAAGCATCTTTAGTACAGAACAGTTGAGCTAAGCCACGCCCAGGCTCCTTGCTGTCTCCTTCTTGTTCACACAGCAATTACTGTTTCAGTTTCCAAACTCTCTGACAGGACACTAGCCAGAAGAATACAGATGTATGCTGGTAGGCAGAGGTAGATTTCCCCCCCTTATTTTCCTCTCCAAAAACTAAGCCCGATCACATAGTTTCCCACGAAGCATGGATATCCAGCTAGTTATGTATATGTGTTTATTACTGAATGATTTATTACATTATTTAATGAAAAATGTTTAAGTGACACACGAATTTAAAAAGCAAGTAAATTCAAAACATTAAATGAAACATTAAAATGCAGCAAATAATGAAATCAAAAGTCAATATAAAAATATAATTGCAAGAAAAAGTCAAATAATTATATAAAAGAACTAACATGAAAAACTAAAATCTAGAGACACTGGATTGAGGCGGTGGCTGTAGAAATTAAATAAAGAAATAATTATGGGAAATCTACCAAAAAAAGCAAAAGGAGAAATATTTCAACAACATTTAAATGTCTTTGCCATAAGTTCTATCTTATTTGTAGTAGAGAGAAATTAAATTTGAACCTATGGATAGATATCTTTTGATTGGTGGGTTGTTTGGTTGATTTTAATAGAAATATTCAAAGGTATAAAAATGCAATTCTGATAACCATGTGGAAAAACCACACTCTGAATTTGGTACAAGTCAAATTTTGGAAAGCCTTTCTCATTCAAATGAGCTTTTGATCATAAGATGGAAGCTTTTATCCATATTTCCCAAGAAAGTTTCTTTCTCATTTTATGTAACATTTTCTTCTGACTGATGGAACATTCATTTCTGAAACCTCAATTTCTTACTAGATCCATGCTGGCGTGAAACAGATTGGTGAATTCTGTGGCAGAAAACCTCCAGGCATGATTGAAACCAATAGTCCTTCAGTGGATATCATTTTTCTCACAGATGAATCAGGATACAGCCAAGGGTGGAAAATTTCGTACAGTATAGAAAGTAATTATTCCCATCCAATACTTTTAAGTTAAAAGGTAATGACCTTTCTGCTGCTCCTTCTTTCATTTCTTTCTCATCTCCAATAGGAATCCGTTGCCCACAGCCTGTGGCAAATGATATATTCACCATAATCAAGGACCCCCAGCCCCTGTATCAATACCAAGATTACTTCATTGTCAGCTGCAAGACTGGATATAACTTGATGGAGGTGAGACTTTTTCATCTGAGTGCTTTAGTATGTTCTTTCTTATAAGCCTTTTTCTTGTAATGGCCTTGATCTAAGTGGCCTCCATTTTGCTTCTTCTAAAAGCTTTCCTTTCTTTCTACATCTTCTACTCTTGTTCATGGAAGCAAACGAAGATATGTCCAAGGCATGGAAAAAATAAAATACGTATCTTACAAAACAAAGAGGTCAAACTGTGCTTGAATTTTTGATTAAAGACAGAGTTGTCAATTGCGCAATGTTTGAATAGTTACTAAAGCACAGAGAAGAAATTGGAGAAAACGAAAGTGTAAGAGAGACAGAGAGAAAGAAAACATTATTTTGGAACTCAGCTCTAGAAGCTGCTTTCAAGGTCAGAACTCAATTCTACTAGCACCAAACTTACCACTGCAAGCTTTTCTCATGTTTTCCCACTACTGAATAACTTTAACCAGTCATATATTAGCTAGAGTAGACAAGTAAGCATCCCCCAGCTTATTTGCTTGTAGGATTACATTTGTTACCCCAGAGTCCCAGGTTTTAATTAAAAAGAAATATCCAACTGGTATAAACGTACAATAACTATTCTGTCCAATAGCGTGTTCAGTCTAAAACTAATGACAACAATGGATCCTTTTTAGTCTTTTATAATGGAGGTTTTTTTTTTTCATGCAGAAAAACCAAAACCTGAAAACTTGTCTTCAGAAAGTTTCTGAAGACTTGCCCTGCTAATGCAGGGAATTACTTTAGAGTAATAATTATATAGGGAGACAGAGCTCAGTGGTATGAAGATGGATGCTTTGGTTTTGGCAATATTCTCAATCCCAGAATGGTGTCAGTAACCTGGGTTAGGGATCCTTCCTACATTTTTGAAGAGAAAGCTTTTCTTCTTCCCTACCACAGATTGCAATGAAGAGAAAGGCTAAGGTAAAACCCCATGTACAGCCTACCCCATCTGCCACACTGCCAAACACATTTTCTTAAGGTGGCATCTCTTATCTGATTTCAACCTCAGTCAGCAAGACTATAGATGGAAAAAGACAAAGGCACGATAGCAAGCTAGGGACATCAACAAAGGTATTAAATTGATGGTTAGCTGTTTTTTCTTTTGAACAGGGTAAAGAACACCTGACATCCTTTACCTCTGTCTGCCAACATGATGGGACCTGGCATCGTTCTATGCCCCGATGTGAAAGTGAGTCGCCTTTTCTACCTGTTGCCTGAAACACTACCTAAGCAGATTCAAGTTCCCCCAAACCTGGGGGCCTTTTTCATGGACTCCTGCTGTTGAACGGCTGGAGCTGTGAATCTTCATTGCCCATGGCAGTGAGAAGCATTTTGCTGCCTCTGTCCACAAGATAGTCCACTGGGTTCATCTGATCTATACTGTAGTTATTCAACAATTCCAAGACAGAAAAACATACCAGCATTAAACTTGCTGCCTTCATTGTCTGTCCTTATCCTGGAGCAATTCATATTTATGATATTGGGGAGGGAGAGAGAACCCAATTTAAAAGAATTAGTCTGTGTAATTCTTAAATGTAAAATAAAATAAAAGAAGGGCCATAGTAAACAATGCCCAGAAATTGGAGAGGTGGCAGAATCACAAAAACTATTAGATGCCTCTATAGCTACTCCTTCTCTAGGAGTCACCCGGCTGTGCTGCCAACAGAATGTCAATGAAACCCATCTGATTCTACCCATGGCAAAATCTATGCTGAGATAAGACAAATAAAATGCTATTTTATGTGCTAAGGGTAACTTTAAGGTAGCAATCAGGTGAAAGCAACATCACGAGGAAGCAGCCCCCCTCAAAAAAAAAGGTTCATGGGATGGCTTTGCTGCAATTGTGCAAACAAGGAAAGTCTCCTAAATTGTGGGATTTGGTTCTTAGGTTTATGCTGTTTATTTTCTGATATGCTGCCGACACTTGGCCTTGCATCTGACAATCCTGAAAGTGCTTTCTTTTATTTCTTTCTCTTTCCCTGCTAAACCTCTCTCTGGATTGTCTTAAGGATTCAGTGTCTTTTTGCCTGTACATGAAAATGTAGCTCTTTATATGGAGACGCATTTCGGATAACTAATAGCAGAGAAAAAAAGCTAGTCCTCTCTTCTCCACTTTGCTTCTTCACTAAAGAAGACTTAAAAACAGAAACTAAAATTGTTCTGTTAGGGCAGGATTTGAGATATGACATACCATGAATCATATCCTGAGAAAGAAATGAATAATTCCTATGAGAGTGTTGTTCTTGGGTTGGGATCATTTCTGATCCCTAGAAAATCCCCGAGGGAAATAGCAATAGCAATAGACTTATATAATGCTAACCGGTGCTTTACAAACCTCTCTAAGCAGTTTACAGAGTCAGCATATTGCTCCCAACAATCTGGGTCCTCATTTTACTGACCTTGGAGGGATAGAAGGCTGAGTCAACCTTGAGCCTGGTGAGATTCACTCTGCCAAATTGCAGGCAGCCAGCAATCAGCAGAAGTAGTCATTCTAACCACAGCGCCACCACGGCTCATACTGTACTGTATACTATACTCTCTTCTCTTCATCTTATGTGTTTTTTGTCTTGCAGTTGTGAATTGTGGTGAACCTAAATTTCTGAAAAACGGGGCATTTAATTTTGTATCAGCAACAAAAAATAATAACTATGAGTCGGTTATCAAGTACCGCTGTAATGAACCCTATTATCGCCTGGTCAACACCCCAGGAAAAGGTGAGGCCATGCATTACCAGATCAATGCAAACCTAGTGCAAACTGCAGCATTGCATGGGAAACTTGACAAACCAGAAGCCGAACAATTTCATTGCTTTTGTATGTGTATCTTCTTTACCAAATGCTAGGCAGGAAGGAGGGGCAGAAGTGGGGGTGGAAGAAGCCTGGCCATGCTCCAAGTCCCCATGATGAAACAGTGTCACCTGGCTGGGCATCATTGAGGCTGCCTTACGAAACAGCTTCCCCTAGAGATATGGATGGACTTGACCCTGTTGGCCTTTTGGAAAACAGCGAAAACCTGGATTTCTCCCTCAGGATTGGGGCCAGGATGTTGATGGAGCTGGCACAAGATGCCTGATTTATGGATGAAGTTTTAGGAGGACCTCAGTAGTGCCTTTATAGTTTTAATGCCTTTTTAAAAACAATTTTATTGCATTGTTATAGGGCATCTAGAGGTTCTTTTGGTAAACGGTTGGGCATATAAATTTAATAAATAAGTATTGATTTCTTTAAAAAATAAAAAATGGGTAATGAAGCAATAACTGATAGCTCTTATCTTGGGCATCTGATCCCACAATGCTAATTCTTTAAATAAATTCATTATAGCCGGGGGCGGGAATCCATTTATTTATTTTATTTATTTAAATTGGCTTTTAGCTGCCCAACCTTGATAGATTCATTGTGGGCTAGAGCACTTGTTCACTAACACTTGGCATTAAAACACCTTGGACAGCAATAAGTGTATTTTTGTTTGTTTGTTTGAGTGTGACTGAATGATTTCAATCACATTACACTTGTAAGAAGTTCAGCTACATAAAAATAGAACATAAAACATCCATGGTTAAAAAAAAACACAAAAAAAGTTCAAAAAAATAAATAATAAAAAAAACCATTGAGCATTCAATCTTTAGTCTCACTATTCTTGTTTTTGTTTTCTTTTAGGTATCTATACCTGCTCACCTGAAGGTTCCTGGAAGGATCAAATTAATCACGATGACATCCCAACGTGTCTGCCAGGTAAATCATGGCCGAAGATGCTCTTGCTTTGTATTGTTATAGCACACTATTCACCACTTCCCAGTAGTCAAAGCTGATGCTGGCACCAAAAGACTAGCAGGTCCTAGTTCTAGAAGAGGCAGAGAGGAAGCAGGCATCATGTCTACCTCCACTGCTATTGGACCTACTAGAATGGGATTCTGGATCCAGCTCTGAGATTAGTTTCAGTTCTCATTCTCTTCGTAAAATTAATTTCTGTAAATAAAAGCAGATAGCACAAATAAAAAAAACCAGAGATCAAGACATATAAAAGAAACATATTGATAAAGCACATAGAAATTCTGAGAATTTTTTTTAAATAACCACAACCAGTGTCTCTGCTGAGAATTTTTTTTAAAAATCAGTCTGAGTCTTTTGTGGTCTTCCCCACCCCACAATTCTCAGTTCTTTTGTGGGTCCAGAAGGACAAACAAGAATAGCACCCACCGTCCTTATAGGAAGACCATAGGTGCCAGAGAGGCTTGGAGAAAGAAGCAGCAGCCACACAACCCATTATTGGCAAGCTTTATGTGCCCAGTTCTGGTGGTTGTCATTGCCAAGTGTAGCAGTATCCTTTTCTGTTGAATTACCTTCTGTTTCCTCTTCTGGTGGTGTAATGAGAGAGGTATTGATAACCGACATTTTTAGCACAAAGGGGAGGTAGAACCGAATTAATTAACAATTAGCCAGAAGTGAAGAAGAAAATGATTAAGAGGCTGGTTCTGATGTGGTTTAACCAATGATAAGATGCACAAATAAGGGAAGTTTGCTGAGGGAGGGTGGGTCAAGAAGTCAGGGGGTGCTGCAGCCTTTCTGAGCATTCTCTCCCTTTTCACAGTGTGTGGAAAGCCAGACAACCCAATCAAGGAAGTCCAGCGAATTATTGGTGGGAAGGATGCCCCTCGAGGCAGTTTCCCATGGCAAGCCATGACGGTCATCGCCGGGCGAGCAGGAGGGGCACTGCTGGGTGATCGCTGGATCCTGACAGCTGCCCACGTTTTGTACCCAAAAGGGAAAGGGAATGACACAGAGATGCTGACCCCTGTGCAGCTGGCAGAGAAGGCTGAAATCTTCCTGGGTCACACAGAGGTGACTGAATTGTACAAAACAGCCAATAGACCAATTCTCAGACTCTTTGTGCATCCCAGCTACAACCCAAAGGATGAGCACAACTTTGATGGAGATATTGCGCTCATCGAGTTGAGAGATCCAGTGACCCTTGGCCACGACATGCTGCCTATCTGCCTCCCTGAGTCAGGAAACACCACCTATTACCATACAGGCTGGATGGGGTATGCCAGTGGCTTCGGCGTAGAAAAAAACATCCTTGCTAGCAGGCTGAAATACGCCCCCATCCCAGTGGGCGACCAGGATATGTGTCGGAAGTGGTTGAAAGGAAAGAAGATCTCTCAGAACGATCCAGTCTTCTCAGACAACATGTTTTGTGCTGGGACCCCCTATGGTGGAAAAGACACCTGTCAGGGTGACAGTGGAGGGGCCTTAGCTGTGCGTGACCCAGAGACCCAGCGTTGGGTGGCCACAGGCATTGTTTCTTGGGGCCTTGACTGTGGCAAAGGATATGGCTTTTATACCAAAATCATCAATTACTTGGATTGGATCAAGGGCATCGTTGGAAAGGATTGGGTGTCCATGCAGGTTTCTCATTAGCCAACCAAAGAAATGTAAACTAAGTTATAGATTCCACGCACGCATGGAAAATGCATACTTCTCATTAGTTTCCTGCTGTTCTTGCTGCCCTGTCCTCTTTTCTTTGATACCAAATAAATGTATAATTGCTTCTTTTATTGGACGGGAGAGGGGGGAATAATTCCTCTTGCCCCTCATTTCTCTTCTCAGTCTCCAATGCCCCAGCAAAGAGAAAGGTTTCAGGAAAGGTGAAAGATTTCTGAATAGGAAAAGGACGTGTTGTTTCTTCCCAATCCCTCATCCTCTTGGCTCAAAAATGTCTTTGAAGTTCTTTCTAGTATCAATGGGGACTCTGAGGTGGGAAATGATTGCAGTGCACACTATATAATTTTGTGAATAAGATATATACTTTTAGCATCTGCCTCCAGAATCTGCCTCTACATGCAGCCATAGGAACCAAAAGCTACCATTTTTTTTTGTAAAAAATAGCATCATTTTTTCATTTATTGTTGCAATAAGTTAGAGAGCTCTTTATCCCCTTGCAAAATAGACAATTACTAGTTTAACTAACAGCTTCTATTGATACCTCCTGTATCAAATCTTTAGTTGCTTAGCAAAATAAACTAAAGATAGTTAAATCAAACATCTCAAAGGATTTGTGTATTATTTTCATTAACAGCAGAGAGTACATCTGATACAAACTTACGATGATGCCATAACACAATCTCAGAAAGAATGTATTTTTTGTGATTAATAAACATTAAAGCAAGTTATCAATAAATCAAAACATGTCAAGAACAATTGTTTATGGCAGAAAACGTCACGTGTGATAAACTTCGCTGTTAAGACTATGCAAAACAATCTAGAACAGGGGAAATCAATTGCAAAGCTGGGGAAAGAACTGCTCTACATCTGTTGATCCAGGTCTGTTTAGGCAGGAGACATAAACCCAGTGCTGATATTTTTGCACCTGTTGATTTCTGGGTTCTGCAACAGGAAGCTGTTTCTGCGTCTATATGACTCCTTTCTTGTCATGAAGCAACTTACCTAACACTATTGAGTCCAAGTATCTTCTGCTGTCATGTATTTCCTATATGGGTAAATTTATAGGTGGATATGGCCTAAAATATAACTCTGTCTCAGCAACATCGTTTTTCCACCTCTCTCCATGAAGCTGTCTCCCCAGCTCATGAGCAAAACAAGAAATTTCCCTTAATTCTCCTGCTATTGAGGGTAGTCTCAATGTGGGAAGTCTGCTTGGCTTTGATAACTCCTTAACTTGGAGGAAGGTGAGAGATTGCTACCAATGAGTAGGCATGAGCCATAAAGGCAGAATAGGACACAGCAATAGTGGCAGCAACTTTCATTAATTTCAAGCTGGTTATCGTTTTCTGCTGACTCAAGGCTTGGTGAATAAATTTCCTAACGGCAGTGGAGGAAGGCCCTTTGAAACACTACAAGCTATGCAAATAAAGAACTGGAACTTTGTCACTTAGAGATGTTTAGAAACTTTCTTTGGTCACCATGGCCAAAGGAGAGATAAAGACATCACCATTCACTTGGCTGAGCACAACCAAAGTGTTGCAATGGTGAAGCCCTGTTGCAATTCAATAGTAACCTGGCCTCCAAGACCATTGTTCCTCACACACATACAGAAATATTTTCCTGATACATAATAGTACAATAACAAACTCTCTGGAGCGCAAATGTTTTATGGAGCATATTATCATTCATGGTAGAATAGAATTATATTCAGTCTTCCAAAGGGACATCTGCTGGAGACTAAAATTTAAAATTGGCAAATCTAAGTTTAATGTGAAGCTTTAAACTAGATATGCAGCTACTGTAGTTTAAAGTTGCACATTAAGGCAAACTGTTGTTTGTATGGCTTAGCAGAGAGTTACCAGCCATTCTGGTTTGTTAATTATGGTTTAGCCACTCCCAATTTTAGAAATTTTAGTGCTGGCCCTCCACTTTCCTGTTAGGCTTTAAGGTAAAATGGCTTCACTGCATTCTTGATATTCCCTTCTAATGGATAAAACAAAACAAAACAACATGTGCTTTGTTCAGTTAGCTATGTTAAATAAACCTGGTCTAAGAATGTTGTGTGAAGGCAGCTTTTGAATGAAAGAAGCATTCAAACTGTTTGTGTGTACACATTGATTTGGTCTATGATTATCAGTTAGTGGACTACAATGACCTAACAGCCATGTTCCCGTAATTCAACAGGGAAAACAAGGCCTCATGTGATCATAAGCAAACAACCAGTTACCATAACAAGGACTTGATCCAAATTGTTTCTCCCAACCAATAGAGAAGTTTCATGCCCATAACTCTCTGTTTCTCTCTCAAGCCCTCCTCCGTGTGTGTGCGTGTGTGTGTGAGAGAGAGAGGATGAGGGAGGGAGGTAGAGATAGAGAGGAGCAAAGATTTAACCTTGATTTCATTATTAAAGTTTGCCATTAATATCCAAAGTTTACTGGAAATCATCTGTAACAGCTTTTAAAACTTTTCTACAATAAATATATTTATCAAAAGTCTACGCATCTCCTTATTCCTGTTTATCTATTTCCAGTACGGCTTGCGAGGAGCTTATTAACAGAAATGGACCTTTTCTGCCCAAGTAAATCACTAGAGCCTCAGAGTGCCTTGTTAACCCCAATTTTGTACCATAAATGTATGATACCACCACTGTTCAGGATGCTTAAGCTGGAATTCTCTGTCAAAACCACTTTTCCCTCTGCACAGTGCTCTGCTTTCTTCATCCTTCAGAGGTTCAGACATCTTAAATGCTTTTCTTCTCCTGTTGATTGGTCCTTTTATGAGCTGAGGTCCAATGAGTTTTTGGACTCAAAGGCAAATGGTTCCCTGACGCTTCAACACTTCATAGTGTTGCTGGTCCTCACCTTTCAGGCTTACTTTACAGTAAGGCTTACAAATACAAGTATACAGTATTTGTCAAGTAAGCCTTCCCACTATCCACCCTTTGGAACTACAGTAACTACTTCAAAGGCTTGTGTAATCTCCCCGTACTTCTTTCCAGCTACTCTCTAGCCAGCTAATGAAGGCAAGATCCGGATCCCTTCTTTGAGATTTGAGATTTACTGCAGACCAACAAATAACAAGAGTAGAAATACTAGCCAGGTTTACTCCTCACCTGCTGTCCAGCTGAATAGCCTTTTTCATTTGAAAACTGGCAACCAGTAAAACCAATTGGATTGTGGGGGAAGGAAGGGGAAGGCAGTCAGATTGCAAGGAGAGAGCCCTGTGAACAGAGATGTTGTGAGAATGGCTATCTTCAGACCAGCCGCAGTCTAGGCTTCTTTGGAAACTCCCCAGATTCATGGAGGAAACATGGTGTCCCCTTTTTAACAATAATGAAAGACATATAGGTTGATGTCTCAAGCAGTTCCATGTGTTCACTCCAACTTCTTATACAGGTAAGCACTGAAAGGGTTTAATAACAGATTTAAGGCAACAGATTTAAAACCATTAACTGCCATTTTCAAATTCAAAGTTTATTGCGGAGCTAACGCTAGGACAAACTAACACTTAGGGACACTTACCCTGAAAGGATAGTTTGCTTCCTTTCTTCCTACACTGGTCCTATTGTAGCTTGTACATTACCAAAGTCCTATGGGATTCTGTTAGTCCCTACATAATCCTGAATAATTTCAAGTTCACTGAAAACTTGCCTTTACACTGTACCATTCAGGTGGTAGTGAATATTTTCAAGGCAGAAAAATAAATGAAAGCCGTCTAATTCATTTTTCCTTAAAATATACATGAACTACCACTAGCAATAACGCCTTGTTCAGATTGTTCCATTCCCAACATTTTCAGCCCTTGCAAAAGACAATACTGGGACAGATATTCCGGAAGATGCATACCTTCTGCCTCGAGACAATGCTTCTCAGGCAGTTTTATCCCCCTCCCCTCCTAAAATTAGCTTCCTTGTTAGGTAGGTTTGAAGCTTATTGGAAGAATGGATAAGAAGATTTCACTGGCCTAATTTCAACCCATTGAGGCTGCATACATTTGAAATCTTCGGAACATACAGCTAGGACAGCAACATGAAAAGTATATTATAATTAGTTATAAAAATAGGTGCCACAGAATTGGGCTCAACTCCTAGCAGTTGCATGGGTAAATGCTTGGTATGCAATAAAACAGCATGCAAAATTAGATTTTTTTAAAAAATCTAGACATTCACACACCTGGGGGAAAAGCATGTGGCTGTCTTAATTTTTTTTAAAGAAAAGTAGCATATATTGTGTGCAAGAACTAGATCTTGAGAAGAGATCACCAGTGAAGATCCCAATTTTCTCTTCCCAGTTTGAGCTCATTTGGGATTTCTAGCAGGGGAGCGCAGCAATTGTATACCCTTCACCCAAGATCATACACATCTAAGACAGTCATCCTCTTCCACTGAGTGTTCAGCATCAAGAGAGATGTACATGGAGGAGTTAGGGAGGAAGGAGTCTGGCTTCTAGTCAGCCAAAGCAGCAGTGGCAATCAGTGGGGTGACAGCTGTTTTTTATTTATTTATTTGTTTTTATTTATTTTTGTCAATTGCTTACAAGATAATAGGTATAAGTAAAAACATAGTTATGAATACATGGATACATATAAGAAAAATATGAATGTTGCCGCAGGATCCTCCTCACACCCTTTTCCCAGCTACTTTTTATAGGTTTATATGTTTTCTACAGATGCTAATGGGATAATTTTGCCATGAAAGTGATTAGAGGAGAAAGCTTCTGTTTCCTCTGCATACATGCTGATCTTGAGCAGGATTCTCTCCTTAACTTGCTTAAGCTAAATCAAATAAAATGAGAAAGGCAGATTCACAATACACAAAGCATTACTGTAAAACAGCTTCTAGAACAGAAGTGCCAGGCACTCCTAGATCCTCAAAGTTGCTGATTTTGGACTCCTCTATATCTCTAAACAAAAAAATCTCCAAAGGCAGAAGTGTGGACTTTTGCTTAATTAAGTGATATTACTCATTGACCATAAAGAGGATGGACAAAAATGCGGTGTCTCTTTTTTATCCCTTAAGTTTTTATTTAACCCAGATGTGGAAAACCCAGTCAGCCTAGCTCATGTCTCAAAATGCTGCTGCTGTTATTTGAACTGCCAAGTAAAGTTGCTGAAGCTGTGGGTCTGATTATGCAAGATTCCAGTGTACAAATACGAAAAATCTACCTCTGGATTTTCCCAAGTTTTTTATTTAATATTCTCATCCAAATGGTTGATTTTGAGAACTGGTGACCTAGAAAGGAAATCGGAGTAGGGCCAACTCTGCCAGATTTCATTCCACTAGAGGATTATTCCTCCATGACTTACATTTGATATCATACGGGTGGAAACTTACATTTTTAAAAACATAAGACATTTTGACACTAAAAACTCCAGATGCTGCCTTGTTCCATAGTCTGATGAGTCTTTACAGTTTCATAAGTGTTTATAATTCAATGTAGAAGCAAATTGCCCATTAAACTTATTAATATATAGAAAAGAGGACAGAAGAATATGTAGAGATGTTTAAGTTATAGGAGTCCCTAATAGTTGCATACACTATCAGATTGAAGGTCAGAATCTGGAAGGAAACTTTTGGGGAGTTTATAATGAGCCCAAGAAAACTTCCTTTGGCTACATCTCCCAGAACTACATACAGTATATTGTGGGGTCCTTGCTACTCTTTGAGTTTGGTTGTTGTTTGCAGACATTTCATTACCTCAAGTAGGTAACATTATTAGTGCTAGAAAATAGTGAGGTTTGCTGTCATTTTATATAGTAGTCGCTTACCCTGACAATACTGGTGGGAGTGGTCTAGTGGTTCCTTAGATTACAGGTTATAGATTAAGAGAGTTGGAAAAGACCTTGTAGGTCATCTAGTCCAACCCTCCCACCCAAGCAGGAGACCCTACACCATTTCTGACAGATGGCAGTCCAATCTCTTCTTGAAGGCTTCCAGTGATGAAGCTCTCATAACTTCTGAAGGCAGGCTGTTCCATTGGTTGATTGCTCTCACTGTCAGAAAATTTCTCCTTATTTCCAAGTTGAATCTCTCCTTGTTCAGTTTCCATCCATTATTCCTTGTCTGGCCTTCAGCTGCCTAGGAAAATAGCTTGACCCCTTCCTCTTTGTGGCAGCCCCTCAAATATTGGAACACTGCTACCATGTCTTCCCTGGTTCTTCTCTTCACTAGACTAGCCGTGCCCAATTCCTGCAACTGTTCATCGTATGTTTTAGCCTCCAGTATCTTATTCACCTTGGTTTGGGTTCTCTGCACTTTTTCTAGAGTCTCAAAATCTTTTTTATAGTGTGGTACCAAAACTGGATGCAGTATTCTAAGTGTGATCTTACTAAGACTTTATAGAGTGGCATTAATATCTCACTTGATCTTGTCTGTATCCCTCTGTTAATGCAATTTAGAACTGCATTGGCTTTTTTGGCTGGTGCTGCACACTGCTGGCTTATATTTAGCTGGTTGTCCACTAAGACTCCAAGATCCCTCTCATAGTTACTGCTACATGGTTACCCTTAATTAGACTGTTGTTTCCTGTTAGTTTCTTTGTTTGAGTTGGTAGATCCTTGATTGGAGTATTGTTTATTTCTTGATTGTTGGTCCAGTGTTAACCTCTCCTCATCTGCGTGCTGATTTATGGTGAGAAGTTTTTTTCTTTTTGTTTCCTTTTTGGCTTTTTAATTGCATTATTTGAATGGAATATAGATGTTGCTTATGTCAATATGCCTGTTAATGGTTGTCATGTCTTGAGCATCAGGCTTCCAGGAATTCTCTGGCATTTTTGGACTTAGCTTGATCTAGGAAGTTCAGAATTTCCCAGTTGAAACTGTAGTCGAGTCTGTCCATGTGTTGTGAAATTAAGCATTTTCATCATGTCTTCTGACTGCTACTTGGTTGTAATGGATTTGCTTTACTAGTTTTTTGCCTTGTTGGTCCTATATAGTGGCTATCACAGTCCTTACACAATATGTTGTAAACACTCATTTTTCTTCTTCTTCTAGGGCTCCTGGGTCTTTTGATTTATTTAGAATGTTTTGGAGGACTTTAGCATTGTTTCTGTGTTTGGAGGGAGATTTATTATCCAAATGTGCTTAATCCTGTGTAAAGCTACTGGTGACTTTAACATTTTGAGAAAAAGGAAAAAGATATTCCTTACAGAGGTAACCGGGACAGCAGAAACATATTAAATTGGGACTGTGGGACTTTGAAACAGAGGAAATCTTCTCAGTAAATATTGCAATCCCTGAAGAGGACAAGATTAAAACAAAGTATTTTGATATATATTTGCAGCAGAAAAGAACTGTGGGCCAGAGTACACAAAGTTCTGTTCTAGGAAATGATGATGAAAAAATACACAAAGATCCACTAAAGAGTAAATAAGTCCTTAGTTTATGTGCAACTTAACATAACACAATTGAATTTCTGAATTCTGAATGGAAGTTGCTCAAGAATATTTGGCAGTTGGCAATATTCTGCCTCATTCTCAGAGCCTGTGTCAAATGAAGA